GGCATATACCGTATTTATATATATATATATGGCAGGACTTCCTCCTGGGTTTTCTGCATGTTTCCTCTCTGCTGAGCAGCTTCCCTGTTTTTCATTTCAAACCATGAAACAGAAACGAGTTTCAGAGCAGCAGCCGGTGGATGTGTCGGTTTGGTCCTGAAGATTTGAACTTGTTGGGTCAGGTCTGTTTACTCTCAGCTGGTTCCTACTGAACCTGTTTGCTGATCAGAACCTGAACTTTGGATCTGAACAAAGAGGTTAAAAAGTGAACAAGATTCACAGAAACAAGTCCTCGTCAGCAGAAAGCTTCAGAAAGAAAAAAGCAGGAGTGTTTTTGTTGAGGTTTATTTGGAACAAACATTTATTCTGCTTCTTCAGGACCGGTCGGACCGGTTCTTACCTGCATTCAAATAAACTCCAGGCATTAGTGGGAGGGGTCTTCATCTAAAATACTTCTTGAATATCTCACACTGTGGTACATAGATCAAAAGATTTCAACTAAAAACAAAGAATCTGGTCATGAAATGAGGGCTGGATGATGGCAAAAAAAAAATCATGATTGTGGAATTTAATGGGTTATAGATAGGGTTAGCATTAGCTGCTCAATGCTAACTTCACCCACTGGACTCAAAGTGGCTGTGACATCAAATTTTTTGTAATAAATATGAACACATTTTTGGAAAGATAACATATTGCAAAACTAATTTGACACCAGAAGTTTACTTTTTGTATCTGAAGGATAAGCATGTCACATGCACTTTAAAGAGTTCCCCTTTGATGTCACTTCCTGTTTCACTGTGGCTGATCCAAAATCAAAAGAAAATCTGCCATTTATGACCAAATGGGTAAAAATCACATTTTATGCAAAGTTTCTTATATAAAAGTGTTTTCTTTAACTTTTTGAATTTGATGAATGGACATGTCACACTTTCATTTCTTGCATTATAAAAGCATAAACACTGAAACTCGAGTTTCTGACGTCTTTATTGGTGCGTTTGTTTTAGGACGTGAATCAGCCGCCAGCAGCTCCTTCAGCAGGAACAACAGAGCTTTTTACTCACAGCAGAATATATTAAACAACTTCATAAACATCAGGGAGAATCGTCGGTTAGCATCGTTAGCTTAGCCGCTACGTGGGTTTAAAACATGGCTACCAGCAGGAGACAACAAACACGTTCAGGTCCTTCCAAACATACAAAGATGTGAAGCTACYGGTCAAGTTAGACAGAGGCTAAACTAACTCACATGAAGGTAACGATCTACAACCGTAGATGAAAACAGGAAGAGGACACAATAAATATTTGTGTTTAACAATAGAATTATTAAGAAGTTTTTTTTTTTTTTAACGTTTTGGGATGTTTATATTTTTTTGGGCCCTGTTCTTCCTGCTGCAGGGGATGATGGGAGCTGACGTCAGGCCGGTCCAGCAGGGAGGGGCGGGGTGGGGGGTCGTTCAGAACCAGAAGCAGCTGGACTCCTCCAGCAGCGATCTCTAATGACGCGGGGAACACGTCGAGCCACAGAGCTGCCGTTTCACTGAGTGTTTGAGAATAAATAAAGATTTTCTGGACTTGGCRGCTGACGGAGCCGTCGAGCTGCTTCCTGGTTCTAGGAGGACCCGACCGGCTGCAGAGGAGGACAGGGGGACGAGGTCCCCTCCTGGACGGCGGGGTCCTCGTTGTAGAGACGTTTGATGCCGTCGTAGAAGTCGTCCACGTCCATCTGCTCCACCTGAAACACCACGCGTTAGCATGTTAGTGCGTTAGCATAAATATGGCATTAGAGGACCTGCACTACAGTGGGTATTTAGTTATTTGGAAGATAGAAAACAATTTGTCCAAATAAATAATGTAAGATCTGAGTTTTGTAACATCTCATGTGGAGTGCCACAGGGTTCCATTCTCGGACCCAAGTTATTTGTTTTGTATGTGAATGATTTGGTCAATGTGTCCGGACTTTTTAGGTGTATCCTATTTGCTGATGACACAACATTACTTTGCGTTTGGTGGAGGCCTTGCAGCGCAGTGTGACTTTCTGCAGCTGCTTCAGCTGTTTGGGTGAGAGCAGAGCTGAGGAGAAGCTCCTCCCCTCCTCGGCAGAAGCTGTTGGGGGCTGGACGGGGGTGCAGAGGGGGTGGTCCCGGGAGGTGATGGTCCCTGAGAACAAACCAGACTCATGTTGGTTTTTATGTGACCGTCTTTGCAGAGCAGAGCAACCGGACGTAGAACCTACCCGGCTGGCAGCAGGTGGGGGGGCGGGGCTGGTAGATGTAGACAGTGTTTGGAGGCAGGGAAGCGCTCGGCGTGGACAGACTGCGCGCCACCAGCTCTCGGCTGAGGATCAGCTCTGAGCTGTCGATCTGAAACAGGTTTCACTAAGTTATAGTTAAGACCTTTAGGACCATCAGGAACGACATTTAAGACAAAACATTAACAGAAACATTCAAATGGTCCCAGAAATTTTAACAGAGAAACGTTTTTTTGCTGTTAAAGAATATTTAACTTTAATACAAGAACACTGAATTATTTTAATGAAACGGACAAATCTATGAGACTTTACATCTACTGATGTGGACCAATTCCTACAGAGTGTAGGATGGATGGATGGATGATGGATGATGGATGATGGATGATAGATGGATGAAGGATGATAGATGGATGATGGATGGATGGATGATAGATGGATGATGGATGATAGATGGATGAAGGATGATAGATGGATGATGGATGGATGGATGATAGATGGATGATGGATGATAGATGGATGATAGATGGATAGATGGATGATGGATGGATGGATGATAGATGGATGATGGATGATAGAT